ACAGGGTGCCTGTATGTCGGTGCGTGGGAGTGTGTTTACATGTAGAACTTATGTGTAACCTGCAGTCGACCCCAGTGACCAGCAAGCTGTCCTCTCCATCCATGACCCTATACACCGGATGGGCAAGTTGTGGGCCAGAATGTTCACAAAAACAGGAAACAGCACCAGGCTGGAGGGAAAGGGGTGACAAGGCACAAGTAGTGATGGACAAAATGACACCTCATGAACCATTTGCTGTATTTTTTGAGCCCACATGATACATGATGGCGCTCTTGGTTTACTTTTGGTCATGCTTTGTGCCCTTTTTTGAACAGAGAGCACCATCTAGTGGGGCCAAAAAATACAGCAAATGGTTCATGAAGCATCATTTTGTCCATCAATAGACACAAGCAATAAACTTCCAAATAAACTTCACATTTCTTATAGTAAAAAAGCACAGTAAGTCCTGCAAAATAATATATAATTTTCTCAGAACTTAAAAGCAAAAAAAAAAAAAAACTTTTTCTGAATATTGTGACATTACAGTAATTTCTAACCTTGGCATTCCTCTACATTTTCCAAAAGAATCAGCTATTTCTTATTACAGTCATTAAATTATAAGAACTTGTACTTACTTCTCTGGGGACGCCTGAATCACAGGAGAAACTCGTTGGCAAGGAACAATCATTGGGCTGTGAGGGAACTGTCGAACCAAAACCACGGCAACTTGAGAAATAGTCCTTAAAAGGAACTACTGAAATTGAGCAAGTTCCATTTCTTATTTGTGTTTTCCGGGCACATTGATCGTGCACACGAGGACACCATTAGTTATCCTGAATCTGTCCTTCATGAACCAGATGCAGCCCTTCTTAGTGATGACGGTTCTGACAGAGAAACCAGTGTCAGTGCTCACAGGTGCATTCTGGGTACTATCTGTAGCTATCAACACAGGAAAAGATGAAAAATATATACATAACAGATAACAACAACTAAAATGCAGCTTTTTTTATTTTTTAAATAACCCTAAGAACAGATGTGTTGACAGACATACTGTATAAACATACAGAATCAGGCTGAATATGCTGGGAGATGAACAGACAGAACAGTTCAAAATTCTCAGCCTATCGGTCTTTCTGCTCCTGTTCAATATCTGTGATGAGCAGATGGGGAAATGACTTAACCCCTTAAATGAACCTCCCCATTACACAAATGGGAAAGTCTTTAACAAGTACACTATGTGTCTTTCCATAAGACAATCGTCACAGTTGGTGTGTCTGTGACCCACTGCGTGTCGCTGGTTTTCTATCAGAGCTTTTAATTTGCTCTGACTAAGCTGCTGACGAATCATTATCATCATATTTTACCCAACATGCTAAGTGAACGTTTGCTATAATCTCAGTCATGTTTCAATCGTTCTTAAGATTACTGCAAAGTATTTAATTTAGACTAATCAAGGCTATAAGTTCAATTGTGTATTTTTTTAAATAATGACCCAAAAAAGTAGCTCCATGTAGCTAAATTAGCTTAAGGGGCCATATAATCACTGTATCGCACCTCAAACCAGGGCGCCTTCAGCAGAGAATGCCCCCCATCCCCCCCGCACCCAGGCATTGTCAGGTACTAGAAATCCCGGTGAGTCACCTGCCAGTACCGCTATTCTTAGCGGTCCATGTGCTGTTTTTAAACCAGTAACACACTGGGAATAAGCATAACTATGCTGTGTTTTATACCAAAAAATCTAAAAAGAAACAGGGCACAAACTGATGTGATGTTTTCAACAGTTATATCACTTTTCACTCCAATACATATTTCCTCTTCCCATGGGAAATTCCGTGATGTTTGCACACTTCCCATGCAGGAAATGCCCCATCCTGAACATTAAGCAGGGGCGAGCCACTGGGAATGTAGCTGCTTCTGTCTCACCTCCCCAGAGGATCGTCTCAGGGCCTTCGTGACAGAACCAGGAATACAATGAAGTGGTTTCATTGGTAACCAGAGCATGCAACTCACTCACAGGTATCCCTACAACACAAGACCGAAATTACACGGCCCAAATGAATTGGTAATCAATAACTATTAGCAACATACCGCTAGCAAAGACAAGATACACAAATTCCTTCTGTCAGATAATACCAAACGTGGCTCATACTTTATTTAAATTTAATGCCATTCTAAAAATTCAATGGCGGATTCAAATAGGAAGGAAGGTTATTGTAGGCCAGAGTTAGAAAATGATCCACGTGGTCAGAGAAGGCAGGCTTAGTCTTAGCACAGAAACAGTATCATGGATAAACAGGCCTTTAGCACGTGTGAGGTTGTGCACACAGTCACATGTGTGGGTGCAGTCATAAGCTGGGAAGTGAGAGTATGACTGTTTATAGATGTGTGAGTACAGCCTGAGCAGGCCTTCGGTGGAGATCTCTCGGAAGATCTCCCTCAGCAGAGCCTCTGGGGGGCGAGTGACAGATGGCTATCACTCCCTCATCATATCGCATCCCATCACACGCATGGCTGCCCTGCTCACCACCAACATATTACGCAAACTTAGTGCCCCCCCAACCGATGTCTCAGCGCTGTCGCTCTGTTTACATTCCCTTTTTAGGAAGACAAGCCCCAGGGATACGTGAGGTGGATAATATCCTCCGTCCCGATCATACTGAGTTATCTATGTCCCCCTGAAGTGACTCTTTTGGACGTCAAATCAAAGAATGGTCTTTCACCAATTTATGGAGACATGATCACAGAGTCTGTGCTTCTCTGGTAACGCATCGGATCCATTCTGATCAGGGTACTTCTCAGTGCCCATAAACACCACTGAGAAGAAGTGGGAAAACGGTGATGCCATGGTGATGTCACTTAGCGACTGGAATGCGGGAAACTCACTATGTTCAAGGAAGATCAGTGAAGCCCCCAGTCCAACACAGAGAGCATCTGCAGGCCCAACTTCTCTGCACAGCCTCAAGTATTTACAATACAATCCTCCACACTTTATAAAGCCATCACTAAGATCTCAGCATACCTGACTCTCTACCTAGGGGCCAAAATTACTAGTCATTGAACTACTGCTTGGAAAAAAAAATCACTAAAGGAGAATAAAAATAATACAGGTCTAAAAGGTCTTGGACTTGTATAAGACCCATTTTACAGACATGCTGACATTAAGTCTTAGTAGAACCTTCTTGTTTTTCTGAACTCTGTTTCCATTGCTATTTTATAGACACCGTCCACTTCCTTCCGTCAACATGACCATTATCATCATAAGACTTTCTCTACATTCTGCCTTAATTATATAGTACTGTAAAGCCTAAACAAAACCTCAGTCAATCTAAATATTTAAAATAATACTACATTAATGCGGTAACATTATATTATTTAAGGACATGCCAGTTCAGCATGTAATGCGATCAGGTGAGTGGCAACACAGACAGCAACTCTACCCAACTAAGTACTATACAAATGTTTCCATTATACAAAGTAGGATCCCATAGACGTTTTACATGATACCGCATGATTCCTGCCAGAGTCGCATTAGTGTAAATCATCCGTCATACTTCAGCCCTTGTCTTGACATTAACACCAGGGTGGCTGTAACAATCCGCCTGAAGATACGAAGTGACCCACTTGTGCTTGGCTGCTGCTTTAACAGCGCAATCGGAGAGTAATGTCTGCAAAGCAAAGCTCATTAGGCCGGAAGAGCAGCACATACAGGATACTGTACAGCAGGGGTGCCCAACTGCAGTCCTGGGGGGCCGGAGCCCTGCACATTTTCGGGTTTCCCCTCATTTAACACACCTGATTCAACTCCTTGTGCTAATTACCACACAGCTCTTGAGCTGAATCATTTATGGTGGAACAGGGAAAGAACTAAGCTACACAGGGCTCCGGCCCCCAAGGACTGGAGTTGGGCACCCCTGCTGTACAGGATACTGCCACAGCGGACTAGGAATAAACCTAATAATGCCAATAAACAGCAAAAAAACTTAATATGAGCCAGCCATGCAGTTTAAATATTTATTCTCCTTCTAGATGCAAAATATTCAGTTTTCATATTTTATTAATAACTAATTTAATTGAACTTGCTCCCAGATGCCTTGACCTTCACAATCACCTCACTTGCGATTGATTAGGACAGCCCTAGTGGCAAACTGGGCCGGATCTGCCTTTTCAGGGTCCCTATTGGGCCGGATCTGCCTTTTCAGGGTCCCTACTGGGCCGGATCTGCCTTTTCAGGGTCCCTACTGGGCCGGATCTGCCTTTTCAAGGCCCCTAGGCAAAGCTTTACTTGGGAAGTCCCCCTACCAAGAAAACTGATGATCATTTCACTTCCACTGCAGCACAGATAATTCCTGGTATAGTGCAATCGCCCTATAGCTGCAGTCTGCCAGGTACTTAATCTATATATTTTTTCACATCGTTGTCTGGGCCCCACTTGTGCCAGTTGGGCCCTAGGCAGCTGCCCGCTTTGCATATGCCTCTATCCGGCCCTGGTGGCAAACCGACTTCTTGGAAAGATGGAGTCCTATGACGGTGCCAAGGGGAAAGTCATTAATCACTCCTGCACAACCACCCATTCTGCTGATAATGACTGTCTGCTTTATTGTACACCGTGGGTGTGGCTTAATTACAAAAATCCTCTGTTTAATACGGGTGTCTGCATTCTTTTGCTCATAGTCTATATCAGGGGTCACCAACATGGTGTCCATGGACCTGTTCTAAAAATAGCACAACTCACCAGTGAGCAGCGTCAAAAATTTAATTTTATCCTGTTGCTATTCTTCTTTAATCACATTTGCATTTATATAGATTTGAAAATGACAATATCTAAAAAAAAAACATTTAAAACATGTTTATTATGCATGAAGTTTAGATAAGTTTAGGAGGGCGTTTCAAACTGGTAGCCCTTTGTATGGCTCAGTACCCGTGAAGTAACTCTCAGTTTCAAAAAGGATGGTGACCCCTGAGCTATATTATGGTGGCTGCTAATCCACTACACAGTCACAGACTCACAATGCATAAAGGAATCAAGAAAAAAATCATTTTATTAAACCATACACATTCAAAGTGGCCAGTTACACAACAATTGTACCATTAATTTGTGCTTTGTGCAATTTTTTTATTTTGCTATTATGGGATATAACCATAATATAGTAATAAACGCCAACATGTACTATACATTGTTATAATTAATTAAACCTAAAGCTTTAAAAATAAATACACATGTAACTCCATCATAATTTCTAACATTAACACCATTTCATTAAAAAAATAATTACATCAAGACATTGTCATTGTTACAGTATAGTTAACATTGATTCTTTAATATTGTGCCTGTGGGGAAGGTTATTCTTTAAAACAAGTGACTTACTAGAATAGAAATAGTTTTAAATATAACCATGTCACTTTTCCCAGTCACCAGTACTCTCAATATCCTGAGACATTTAGCTGTTACTTGGGTGTTGTGCATCTTTTATAATAAATATACGTATCACGTCTATCGTACTTTTTTCTGAATAATAAAAACACATCCCTAAAAGCAGTATGTATTTCAGTGGTCCCAGTTTAAATGTGACCAAAAACACAAAAGTGTGAATATATATTGCAAAACTCGACTCCATTACCACACGATTGCACGTAGTTTATACAGCCACCAAATACAATGTTCTCCTATGAAGCACATTTTCATACTACATATTTGTAAACAGTACTCATACAAGACGATATAGTCACTGACCAAATGTAACCTTTGTGTACTGTGTGCAAAGTGTGTGAACATCCAAACGAGCTTTTGTCACGAGGTGCTGGACATTTCAAAAGCAGCGGTTTGTCATCAGAACTCAGCACGTATGATCAGCTCATCAAATGCACCTTGAACAGTGGGGTCAACTTGAAAAGGACGGCCTCAGTCATGGTGTATTTACTGGCCACCTTGGGGGGGTTTTCCCAGGCGATTTCCTTGCTGCACACTGCTAACACGATGGCGGCCTACAGCGCTAAGAACTCCTGCCATGTTATTTCACACAGCGTGTTTCCCCACAGATAAAGAAATCGGTGTGACTCTGGAATAGGGCCTCCATGAAGGTGCAAGAAATCGGTGTGACTCTGGAATGGGGCTTCCTCCAGTTTGTGATCATTAATGTGCATTTCCTTGTTTTATTCTGTCCTCAGTTATCCTGGATCTCACTGGCTCTTGTTAGCATTTAAAACAGCAGAGTGAACCAGTTGATTCAGGACAAGCAAATCAATAGGGATTCAATCTGCTTCTTATCTAACACTCTTAGGGAGTTCTGAGTGAGAGAGCTGGACACCTTGCCTGCCTTTCAGGCATGAGAAGGAGGTCGTTTTAAAGCAAAAGAAGCTAATCTCACCATGCCAGTAAATGAAGGCTTCTCCATTTCCACGGCAATAAATCTCTGATCGCTTTTGAAGTTGTGTTGCCTTCTTTAGGGTACTACTGATACTACTGACACTGCGATGCCAACCAAATTGCAATTCTAGACTCGGCCACTGCCCCTACTGAAGGTGCCCAGGTTTGGCAGCCGAGCATCGAAAGTCAGCAGTCACACTGGATCACCCAGAGACAGACCTTAGCAGTGAGCAGTGGAAATCACCGGTAATGCATGAGTAAGACCAGCAGTAGATGGGCTGATGGAAGATGGGAGGAGAAGAATGATGTCATGGGGGCAAGGTGAAGCGCTGGGAAGAGAGAGCTAGAGGGCAGCTTCAGCAGGCACAGTTCTGAGGTAGCTGGGTCGGCTTGTCCGTCAGCTTCGTGGTTTTCGCCCCAGTCACCATGGCCGGGTCTGTGTCCACTCTTTCTGACATCTTGATGCAAATGATGTCCACGAGGCGCTCGAAGACCTGCCGCACATTGATGTTCTCTTTGGCACTCGCCTCGTAGTACTCGAACCCTGCAGATTTAGACACACGTCAGGGTTGCAGTCCAGTCATCCTATCCCAAGTCAGAGTGAAGTCAGAAGTCATGAGCGGTCAAGTACAAGTCTAAGTCCGAGTCATCTGTGCCCAAGTCTAAGTCTGAGTCATGTGAACATGTGACATGTCCAAATCCAAGTCAATATTTACAAAAATATATAAACAGACAGAAAATTCTAATGTATAAAATATTAATTTACTGGTTTTATTAAAGGGAGGCATGGTAATGCAGTGCTTAGCACTGTTGCCTGATACCTCTGACACCTGTGTTTGAGTCTCTGCCAGAGTTCCCTGTGCGTGGAGCCTTCATGTTCTCCCCACGTTGTCGTGGGGTTTCTTCCAGGTACTCTGCTTTCCCCCCATAGTCCAAAGACATGCTGAGGCTAATTGGAGTAAAATGCCCATAGGTGTGTGTGTGTGAGTGACTGGCATGTGAGTGTGACCTGCAATGGGGTAGCACCCCATCCTGGGTTGTTCCCTGCCTTACGCCCCATAGGCTCTGGACCCCCTATGACCCTGAATGGGACAAGTGGTTTCAGGCAATGGATAGTTTTATGACCATGTTTTGTACAGTAAATGTAGATTTTCATATTCATCCAGTGCTCATCACAAATGTGATAATAATCAAAGATCTATTTGTAACACTACTACATCACAGTTGGTACTCGATATTGTTTTAGCACAACAACTTCAATAACTCTTACTGGGGGGCCTGGGAAACAGGAATAAGAAGTCTATCCAACACGATATATAGTTCATAGCTGTTCACCGATTTGATATCTATCAGAATTTTTTAATACTTTTTCCTGAAGGGCATTTAAGGTATACAGTCAGGACCATAAATATTTGGACAGAGACAAAGCTTTTCAATTTTTAAGCTCTGTACATTACCACAATAAATTTTAAAAGAAACAAGTCAGATGCAGTTGAAGTGCAGACTTTCAGCTTTAATTCAGTGGGTAGAACAAAAACATTGCATAAAAACGTGGGGAACTAAAGTAATTTTTCTACGCAATCCCCTCCATTCCGGGGCTCATAAGTAATTGAACAAATTAATATAACTGCAAATAAAATGTTCAACTCTAATACTTAGTTGCAAACCCTTTGCAGGCAATGACTGCCTGAAGTCCTGAACTCATGGACATGACCAGACGCTGGGTTTCCTCCTTTTAATGCTCTGCCAGGCCTTTACTGCAGCAGCTTTCAGTTGCTGTTTGTTTGAGGGTCTTTCTGTCTGTAGTTTAGTCTTTAGCAAGTGAAATGCATGCTCAATGGGGTTGAGATCAGGTGACTTACTTGGCCATTCAAGAATATAAAAGCAAAGAAGTGGAATAAAGTCCTGGGTTGCTTTTGTTGTGTTTTGGGTCATTGCCCATCTGTATTATGAAACGCCGCCCAATAAATTTGGCTGCATTTGGCTGGATTTGAGCAGTCATGATGTTTCTGAACACCTCAGCATTCATTTGGCTGCTTCCATCCTGTGTCACATCATCAAGAAACACTAAAGACCCAGTGCCACTGGCAGCCACTGGCAGCCATGCACGCCCAAGCCACCACACTGCTTCCACCATGTTTTACAGATGATGCAGTGTTCTTTGGATCATAAGGTGTTCCAGCCCTTCTCCATACTTTTTTCTTCCCAACATTCTGATACAGGTTGATCTTGGTTTCATCTGTCCAAAGAATGTTGTTCCAGAACTGTCCAATCAAGCCTTTCTATTCTTAAGGCTTATGAGTGGCTTGCATCTTGCAGTGAACCCTCTGTATTTGCTTTCATGCAGTCTTCCCTTTATGGTAGACTTGGATATTGATACGCCTACCTCCTGGAGAGTGTTGTTCACTTGGTTGGCCATTATGAAGGAGTTTCTCTTCACCATGGAAATGATTCTGCAATCATCCACCACTATTGTCGTCCGTGGATGTCCAGACCTTTTTGTGTTGCTGAGTTCACCAATGCTTTCTGTCTTTCTCAGGATATACCAAACTGTGGATTTTGCCACTCCTAATGTTGTGGCAATTTCTCAAATTGTTTTCCTCTGTTTTTGCAGCCTAAGGATGGCCTGTTTCACCTGCATACTGAGTTCCTTTGACCGCATGTTGTATGTTCACACCTCAATCTTCCAAATGCAAACAAGACACCTCAAATCAACTCCAGGTCTTTTATCTGCTTAATTGATAATGAAAGAATGAAGGAATTGCCCACACCTGTCTATTAAAAAGCTTTTAAGTGAATTGTCCCATTACTTTTGGCCCCTTTAAAAAGAGGGTGGAACATGTTAACCAGCTGAGATTCCTAAACCCTTCATCCAATTTGAATGTGGATACCCTAACATGAAATCTGAGAGTCTGCACTTGGTGTACATGCCCATTGTATAACTTCAATTGGGATATATTTCAGTAAACAGGTAAAATAGTAAAACTTGTGTCAGTGTCCAAATATTTATGGTCCTGACTGTACATTTAAAGTAAATACAAGGGCTGTAACGCTATTGTCATGTGCTTTTTTGGCTACATGTTTTTTGGTTCGGTATGCACGACTAAATAAATACATTTCTTGACATGGGCGAAACCTAAATTCACAAGTAGATGTTCAACACAGAAAACATTATGTCAACTGTGCCTGTGTTTGGTTACAGAACATGCCGGAGAGCTACCATGTCACTTAAATCAGTAGTTTGGGAACATTTTGGTTTGCCAGTAAATTACACCAACACAGGATGGAGAGTAATCAATAAGAATAACACTGTCTGTTGGCTCTGTTACATCGAATTCGGATATGTTGCTGGAAACATATCCAACATGCTAAGTCATTTGAGACGACATCATCCGAATGTGTGTGCCAGCAGAGCAAGGCAGAAAGAGTCTCTGCAAATTATTCTCCCTGTAGAATTTTAGGCACTTTTACCAGGAAATTCACAGAGGACTTACAAAAAAAATAAAAAAATAAAACCTTAGGCTATACAGATATTTATTGCTACAGATGTCAGACCATGCTCAGAGAATAGAGGATTTAGTTCATTATGATTGTTATGCTGCAATCTTATTTAGATTTTTCATTTATTTGCCATATTTATTTTTAGTGTGCAAATTAGTGTCTGGCCTTTGGCACCTTTAGCAGCAATAATTTTAAGTAAATAATTTGAAATTTTTCTGTGCGACTTTATCAGTCTCTCACATCATTGTGGAGGAATTCTGGCGCACTCCTATTTACAACATTGCTTCAGTTCATGGAGGTTTGCAGCCATTCGTTTATACGCAGTTTTCTTAAGGTCCCGCCACAGCTGGGTTGAGGTCTGTGACTGGGCCATCTCCAACACCTTGATTCTTTTCTTTTTCAGTCATTCTGTTGTAGATTTGCTGGGGTGCTTGGGATCATTGGCCTATTGTGTGAGCCAATTTCGGCCAAGTTTTATCTGTCAAACAGGTGGCCTCACATTTGACATACAGAGGAGTTCATGGTCGACTCAATGACTGCAAGGTCCTGTGGCTGCAAACCCAAATCATCACCCCATCATCACTGTGCTTGACAGTTGGTATGAGGTGTTTGTGCTGATATGCTGTTTGTCGCTATGATGTTTTTCGCTAAATGTGGCACTGTGCATAATGGCCAAACCTCTCTACTTTGGTCAAGGACAACTTTGCATTTACCTAATTTTGAGACCTGCTAAGGACCAGATGATTTTTTTCATTAAGTTCTGATGCGTAAAACCTAAAAATTGAATTCATACTGCTTATGAATGTTCTATGAATGCATTATGAAGGTGCATGAATGTCCTATGAATGCCTTCTAAAGGCATTATAAGGGTGCAGTTAATGTAAAGCGTCACTCAATTTAAAAATATCAATTTAAACATAACTAACTGTAATTATGTTGAACACATTTGTTACTGCTAATATAATTGCTCAGTTGGACTGGGCTGATTTTGTTACGGCATTGATATGCCAGAGTCTGACACTTCAGGCTACTATGGTTAATGAGCCAGCATGTGCAGAGACACTATCTCATTTTAATCCATAGTTTGGGCAAACAGTGGATTCTATAACTCCAGCAAATTCAACCCCAAGGTCAGACTGTCCAGTGCTCAGAAAAATTGCAAAAAACTCAAGATCTACCTCACAGACTCAACAGTCCTGGGCCTCTTTTAGCATGTTAAATGTTATAGTTCATGTCATTACAATTAGAAAAATACTGGACACGTATGGCTTGTTTGGAAGGGTTGCCAGGAGAAAGCCTCTTCTCTCTAAAAAGCACATGGCTGATGGCTTAGGTTTGCAAAGTGGCATCTGAACAAATTACAAGACTTCTGGAACAATGTCCTTTGGACAGGCGAGACCAAAGTAGAAATGTTTGATCATAATGCACAGCTCCACGTTCGGTGAAAACTAAACACAGCATATTAGCAGAAACACCTCATACCAACCGTCAAGCACAGTTGTGGAGGGATGATGATTTTGGTTTGTTTTGCACGCACAAATCCTGGGCACCTAGCAGTAATTGAGTCGACCAAAAATTCCTCCGTATACCAAAGTATTGTAAAGTCAAATGTGAAGCCATCTGTCCAACAACTAAAACTTGGCCAAAATTGAGTCATGCAACAGGACAATGATCCCAAGCACCCCAGCAGATCTACAACAGATTGGCTGAAAAAGAAAAGAATCAAGGTGTTGCGATGGCCAAGTCACAGACCTCAACCCAGCTGTGGTGGGACCTTAAGAAAACTGCGTATAAACGAATGGCTGCAAACCTCTATGAACTGAAGCAATGTTGTAAAGAAGACTGGGCCAGAATTCCTCCACAATGATGTGAGAGACTGATAAAGTCATACAGAACATGACAAGCTATTGAACCATGGGGTGTACTTAGTTTTCATTTTGTACTGATTTTGGCTTAATTTTTGTTAAATAATGACACAGTGGAATCTGTTGTGTGTTGTTTTACACCTGAGGTTACATTTGAATGATTTTAGAACCAGGTAGGGGCCAGATGATTTTTTTATTATGTCCTGAAACGAGACACCATAGAACTGAAAGAGGGTGTACTTTCTTTTTCACATAACTGAAATTATACCATAACATCCTAAGATCCCTTAACGGCTTTAATGCACATCAATAACAATCATATGATTACACCATTGTAATGTTTGGTATTATTGTTGTTATTTATTACTACAATTTCAGCACGTACTGCAGCTATAAAGTACTATCAAGATTACCATCAATAGTTGCTAAATTAATATCATTTTTTAAATGTTATTGTTACTACATCAGTCTACAGCTAAGAGTGCACCATGGTTTAGCTCACTACTGGGCGTCTCTCACTCACCCAGCTGGTCGGCCAGCTGTTTGCCTTTTTCTGGGGCCACCACCCTCTCGTCATCCATGTCACACTTATTTCCCACCAGGATCACCTGGGCGTTGTCCCAGGAGTACGTCTTAATCTGAGTCGCCCTGGAACAGAGAACATCCACACACCTCAGGCACCTGTTATCAGTGAGACAGCTGGTATAAATTCTATGACAGTATTTTATTGATTTTATCTATTTTCTAGTCTAGACGTGACATCACTTCCTGTAGGGCTCCTTGGGTTAATCATAGACACGTCTAGTTTTTCCACACTTTTTATTGACTTAACACTTAACAGCTCGTCATAGAATGTTTGTGGGGTTTGTTAGCAAGCCCTGGCTAGTATCATACGGGATTAAATGCAATGAAGTTCTAACTGAGTAATGCCATGTGACACACACCTACAGGTACCATTTCACAATGAAATTTACAAGCACACTGAAACATCCACTTCAATTGCATGTAGGCTGTAAAACTATTAGACTCACATAATGGCAAGTGTGTCAAGGTTTTAATGCAATATTGATATATTAATATAATCCTATTATAATGTATATAGCTTATTGTATTAGACTTTACCATAATCAAAAACTCAAATTATGGGGAGAAGAACAAAGACAAATGACCTAGTATTATTCACGCTAAATAACTGTTAGGGGCAAATTGAATATCCAGCTGAAATAAAACCGATTGCCATCTGATCAATTAACTGAAGGGCTACTGTGAAATAAATGGCAGATAACTTTAATGATGGTTCTGGGACTAATGGCTCCCGGCACACAGCACACTGAGCCGTGCTGCGTATGGAGCAGCGTAGCCCTGGATCGGACTTATCAGTCCAACACATCCCAGAAATGCTTGATAAGTACCTCGTCATCCACATATACAGAACATAGGTTTCATCAGGCAGGTTTCATTCTTGCATTTTTCCAAGGTTCAGTTCCGATACTTGCGTGCACATCGTGATTGCACATCCCAATAAGCACATCCCAAGTCTCATGACACATCACTCCTGTGACCATCGTCAACATTATCTGCCATTTGTTCACATCTCACATCGACAAGTCTTGGCGTCCCAACACCCTGTTGCCAGTTGGTGTTCTTTCCCTCCTCAGGTTGCTCTCAGCAGGTCCCCACCATGGCCGACCCCACAAGCCTTGGCATTTCAGACATGCTCAGTTGTCTGGCAATAATGATTTGGGCCTTGTCAAAGTCACTCACATCTTTACCCCTGCAGTTCTTCTGCAGTCAACATATTGACTATGAATATTGAATGTTAGCTTACTGTCTGATCTCTCCTGAAGCTTGACATGCTTCATTTTTACTAGATGGTCGACATAATTTGCTTCACGTAGGGGGGGTGGGGGGGCCATAATGTTTTGGCTCATAAGTGTATATGATCAATGTAAAACAAATAGGACTCGTATGCATCCATACAAGACTTTTTCATATGGGAATACCCACAAAATATCAAAGTTCCTGGTTAAACCATACCACTGTCTGACTTCTGGTTCACATCCCAGGAGGGTCTCCGCTGCGGAACCCTTGAGAATCACGCACTGTTCCAATATGGGATTTGAGATAAAAACATTAACTAAGAAATGAAAATCCAGGATGTATTATTTTATTCCCAAGACCAGTGTTTTCCAATCAGGTTCTTGGGGACTCACAAAGAGTCCATGGCAGGGATCTATACATCAATATGAAAGCCTCATCCTCCCGGGTCGGCGACTCACCAGTCCTGCACGGCGTTGAAAGACTCTTCGTTGCAGATGTCATACATGAGGATGAAGCCCATGGCTCCCCTGTAGTAGGCCGTGGTGATTGTCCTGTATCTCTCCTGTCCTGCTGTGTCCTGTAGAAAGTACCATACGCCACATGAAGCCCAAGAAGAAAGAGAAACGTGTGCTCATGCATCCCTCCATCCATCCATCAATTTTCCACACCAGTTATTCTCCAGTATAGGTTACAATGAGCCTGCAGCTATAAAAAAGCACCGTGGACTGGATGCCAGTCCATTGCTGGGTGCACACTCACACACTACAAGCAGTTCGCAGGTGCCAGGCTGCACACTCACACACTACAAGCAGTTCGCAGATGCCAGTCTGCACACTCACACACTACAGGCAGTTCGCAGATGCCAGTCCGCACACTCACACACTACAGGCAGTTCGCAGATGCCAGTCTGCACACTCACACACTACAGGCAGTTCGCAGGTGCCAGTCTGCACACTCACACACTACAGGCAGTTTGCAGATGCCAGTCTGCACACTCACACACTACAAGCAGTTCGCAGATGCCAGTCTGCACACTCACACACTACAAGCAGTTTGCAGGTGCCAGTCTGCACACTCACACACTACAGGCAGTTTGCAGGTGCCAGTTTGCATAGCTGCATGTTTTAGGACAGTCGGAAGAAATCACAGAAACTAGTTTTATTATTGTATTAGAAGGCATATGCGTAAATAAATAAGTCATACCATAAATGAAATTTTTATCATGATCATTATTTTTACTATTGTGGGGGAATAATTCCCATCACACGTACAGTACCAGTCCATTGTTTGGACACACCCACCCACAGAAAGGTTTATTTGTACTATTCTTGACATTTTAGATTTACAATAAAGACATCAGAACTATAAAATACCATACACACATTATGCGCTGATCAAAAAAGTATTAAACGAAAAATGTTAATTTGTTAGGTTGGGGGGCAGCTCTGTGGTTGGGGACGCAGAAGGTTGCTGGGTTAAATCCCATGGTCGGCAGAATGATCCCACCATTGGGCCCTTGAGCGAGGCCCTTAACCCCAGTTGCTCCAGGGACTGGCTGACCCTACGGTCTCCTCTACACCAGTTCCATGAGGTGGCCTCCTGGGATGCTTTCCCAGCTGTCCTGAAGGAGGTCACACATATATGCTGAATGCTCATTGGCTGCTTTTCCTTCACTCTCCAGTCAAACTCCTCCCAAACCATTTCTTTTTGTTTGTTTAGGGCAGGTGGCCACGTCATGTGATGCAACACAATCACTCTCCTTTGTAGGCAACTTGGCGTGTCCAAACTTTTGACTAGTATTGCATGATAAACTCATGACTAGGCAATAACACAGCCCTAAAGAACAGTCCTTTGTTTCGGGCCTCATCCTTCCTGAGAATCTGGCCTGTTTTGAGACCACAGCACACAAACGCAAATATCTGTGGAAAAATACGGCCCAGATCATAAACACGGTTCTGAAATGTTTCCCCAAAGTAGCTCCAGGCCACAACACCAAGAAGACCCAGCACAGCGGCCTCAGACGTCCAGTCCAGCTGCGTTTCACCCACAGATGTTGACGAGCTGCCGACGAGGAAGATGAGAGCTGCTAGTTCCACGGACTCTTTCATTTGATCAAAATTACACGTTAATTAAATGGCCTTGGAGCACAGCAGCTGTTGGCGAGGCTTTAGTGACGCCAGATGCAGCTGGCCCACTGTGCCGTCCTCACACCCCAATGAGCTGCACTGCCCGCGCCTAATAAACCACAGCTTTGGCTATCACCCTTGCGATGCTAATTGCACCTGACAACAGTGCCCGTCACGATCACCTATTAACCTTAATCACCCAGGACAGACTGCCTGTAATCTTCCACTGCATCTAAGATACTGTCTGCTGTCATGACGTGGAGTTATTTCTGGTGTTTTTGGTCAAACAATTAGTTTTCTGCTCCAAATAGTGTACTGATTTCATGTTTGTTCACCATTAATGAATCATGCCACATATTTTATCTCAACTATATTTGTTCACCATTTGTACTCCAGTAGTAACTGAGTTATTACTAAGTATTTGTGCCCCGTCAAGTAAAGTGTTACCCTTTTAACCGTTTCTAGAGGAACAGGCACCATGCGTCAATCCATTTCACCAGACCTTCCTCGTATCAGGGATGGGATCCCGTCCCTTTCCCAGAAGCACTTAGCCAAGGTAGTGTTGCGATGAATGCAGAGCCAATTCCGGGGATTACAGGGCAGCGGCCAGGCTTGTCACACGCACACAAACCGCACGTTTCCAGACAGTGGGTGGGAAGCAGAGGCAATGATCAAAACACGCAAAAAACAGGGAGGAAATGGAAGCCAGGACTCTGGAGGTGTGAGGCCGTGGTACCCCCAGCCGAGTGGCCGGCCACGTCATCGCCGAATTAGTCATCGGCATTCATGCATCGTGGAGATAGCATTTAAAAACACTTTATTAGGCTTAGTATGCAACAACACTTAGTAATCTGCCTGCATTGTGTCCCACCATTAACTGCAATGAATGAATAGATTTGTTTTATTGCCATTGATGCTCTTGGCCTTTTGCCTAGTTCCATTCACCAGGAATCATAGCACTGTCACCCTAACTGAAGGCACATCGTTACCGAATGCGTACTGAATGCTTCTGAGAATAACAGGTTTGACTCTCACTTAACCTTTACTTATCATTTCCATTCTCACCACATCATCTGAAACCTTGGACCAGCATCAAAACGAGGCTTGACAGAACAGAACATGTCTGGGTGTTTGTTTCTTGTTGTGTACTCTGTGACAGTGTTGCTGTGTACCCTGTGACTGTGTTGCTGTGTACTCTGTGACTGTGCTGTTATGCGTGACATAAAGGCGTAATGTGTCATGGCCAACATAAAAGTATTAACACAGTTTTTAACAACACACACACCTCCTTTCTCCTGATAGAGGAGCAGTGATGATCGATGCAGTCCCTGGTCTGGGTCCCCAAGGGGCCATTTTAATTGCATCAGACAAACCCAGCCTGGGAGTCCTGTGAAATGCTGCTTCCATGGCAACCGTCATTGATGAGGCGAGTCTGCCAGAACCTCTGACCTTCTCAAGCTCAGGAGGAATTGCTCTAAAAGCCTCACTCTGGGATCCGGTGGTGTTGCTGCACGCCCGAGTCTCAGTGCCGGGAGGTGACTAGTGCGACTCTTGGTTTCACATCGATGCGTGGCTCTGGGCTCAGCTACAGATTAAGCTGTTTTTCCACTGACCTGGACCAAAGAGCCAGTCTTTTACATTACTTGGATCTTTCATTCATGTGCAGCTGCGGATTACAGATATTTTATGCATTTCTGATGTGTGTGTGTGAGCGTGTTTGTATATATGCTGGGACAGTTTTCTCCCATATGGCCAAAACATACTGTTGGGTGAGATGAAGTCCCTGGGTTTCCCATAGTGCACTGCATGTCTGTGTTTAGCCCTACAATGCATCAGCATCCAGTCCAGGGTGTCCCCTGCCTTTATTAATATATTAAACTCTGCTCTGGGTACTCAGATTTCCCCGCACAGTCCTAAAACATACTGAGGTTATCTGAAGTTACCAAATTGCCCATAGGTGTGCTTCTGTGAGTGCCTGGTGTGTGTGTGTGCCCTGTGATGGGCTGGCACCCCATCCTGGGTCATTCCCTGCCCTGCGTCCATAGTCTCCAGGCACCAGACCCCCTGCGACCCTGAATAGCACCATCTGGTACAGAAAATGAAGGGATGTATGGATCAAATTATGCCTATTGTATTTAAATAGACTGACTTGTGTAATTGTGCAGACAGGGGTGAATGCTCTCTATTTGATTCAATGTAAGCAGCTAGGTGAGGCAGGGGTCATGGCCTTATGTATGTGTGACCGTACTATGTAGCAAATAGCAGAAAATGATGGTAATAGCGTACATGAGCTTTCTGTTCAGGTTTCTTTTATGGACATACAACAGATGTACTGCATTCATGTATCCTGGCTTTTGTGAGAGTCTACTGTACAAAATTCATTCAGTTAGTAATTAGTATATTTGGTCATCTGCTCGAAACGTCCCTAAGCATAGCTGGCGATGAGGGGCGGCTCCATGTAAGAGAAATCCTCATGCAAGTGACCCTGCGTGCGGGGGGAGGACATGCTGTGGGATCCCAGCCACCTACAAGCCGTGATACGAGCCGGAGGCACAGCAGCCTAACAGACTCTGCGGCCTCAGGGATTCCCTTTTTGGGAATGATGGCCGGTTCTGCTGAGAGAAGGAAGGTGATTTGATATCAGCATCACTAACAGGCCTCTTCTGCTGCTGTCTCTCTCGTCCTCCTTCTCCAAGGTGCATCTCTGGACAGCGTACATTTTTCCACGTGTTATTAGGTCATTTATATAAATGTCTGCTAAGTGCATTGAGAAGTCAAACAAATTCAAGATCAAAGCGGAATCGTTATTAAACCAGTAGGATGTAAACTATTCTCTCTGTCAGTGACCAGCAGAAACAAATCAAAGAATAATTAGTTCTTCATCCTTTCCTCATCTATTAAGCACATGAAACTGTGCGTAAACTTTGGGCAGCTCAGTTATAATCATTCGAGCAGTTGAATATTAAACTTCCATTACAGACGGTCACACAGCATAAGTCAATGAACTACTGGCACGAGATGAAGCAACAAAATAATTGTTCTGATTTCACATGAATGAAACATCATTGTTTTGTCTTAAAGTCCAGCAACAAAACAAACTCATCCAATTTCTGAGTAAGCTGAGTTAGGCTGCTGTGTAGGATTCAATGTTACTATTGTTTCACCTAGAAAACTCCTGGATTATGACTAATTGTTTTAAGAATTAGACATTACACTAAAGCACTTAGGAGTTTCTTTATGTAATTCATGAGTAGCTTTTTTGTGTGTGTGTGGGGGGGGGGTTATATTCTGTTATGTATTTATCAGAATCAGTTGCCATAATGGTTTCTGCAGAAAGACCTCCACAATGTTATGTATTACGTCAATCAGTCAATTACCTTAGTTTTCCTAAAAGCGTCTCGTGATTTTCATCTCAGACAATAATGAAATTCCTGGTAAGTTCAGTCTGGTCCATGGTCCATAAATATAAACACACAAAAACCTCAATGCAAAATGTACGTGGCCGCGGTTGGAATGTGTGGCTGGTAGAGCACTCATACTGCTGGGGAAACCTGGAGTCGGACCCTTAATGCCAAAATCTGCTCCAGGGCAGCCAGAAAAATATCAGACCTAATGCTTTGATTTCACCTGACTCATGCAGAGTAAGAAGGGATAACTAATTCTTTGGAAAACCAAATAATTCCTATCTACCAGTACACACACTTGTATGAATGGCTATGATCATTAATTACAATAAAGCAAGTGGAAGCCATCAAATGCAGAATCAACCAAACACAAAACATATGAGAGAAAACACTACTAACAGAAACCCTGTTTAGACACCCACTGTATAGCTATGAGTTACAGAAACGTTAATATTCACAAAACTGACAAAGCAGCCAGGCCTCCCAGGCTTATATCAGGCAGCAGGGATACAGCAGATAGACATGCAAACAAACCGCAGCGATTCTGGAGGCAACAGAGGAGAAACGGCCAATCAGCCGCCATTCACTCGGGTTTAGCCTCATCCATGTGACACGAGCCAGCCAGCGTCATGTGACGAACAAACCCCTCGGCCTCCTTCCACTGCCTGACTTGAGAGCAGCGATATATGACCAGCTACACAGCCTGATTATATGTAACATGGACAATTTTAAAAATACTTGAAATATTCAACAGTAAAATCAACAACAGCCAGTCACTATTGATAGATATTAGTCTCCTCAAAACATTGTTGTTTTTAAATTAAGTTTATGAAAAAACTGTATCTATATTTGTTAATGTTGATGTTTTCTGTTCTGTTATTTAGCATATAATGTAATTGGGACAATCAATATATGTATTAAATTGACACCATTTACTCTGCATTAACACTGTATTAGTTACATAGTTACATTGAAGTTCTACACTATGCATGTGTAATCATGGAGTTCCATGTATAAGTTATTACACACATTCACAAGAAGGAGGACTGGATGTACGGATATACATTTAACAAACATTTGACAGAGGATGCAGAACTCGCACATTTGCCCTTGGTTGCAGCAGCTGCATTTCACTAAGGCTTAATTACTAATGAATTATGTTCAACTTAAGCGACGCATGTTTCCCAGCAATTATAAGCAAAACTCTCATGCTGCAGAAAACCTGCTCGGGGCCTTAATAGGCAGACTCTGATTGCATAACGTTTAATCTGTGCTAAACTGTAAACATGGCTAGCTATGAAGGAGCCAGCCCAGCCTGCAGTATGGCTATAGGACATCTGGTGGTTGGTACAGCTTTGTAAACAGATCCACTTAACCAGAATTTGTATACATTTTCAGCTGTGCACTCTTTACATTCTTTCATCATCACATTTCTAATCTATATAGGAATGACTTCCATCTGACCATAGGTGACAGACTGACATCTGCAGCGCTGTTCCACTTCATTTTCAAAATGAAATACTATTACACCTTATATGTTCTAGAGGGAGTGATTTGTTTATTATTTATACCCATATATGACTATGATATTCTTTATGTTATAGATTATAGTTTTATATGGGGGGAGGCCTGACATGTCCAGATGAGACAAAGTTGGGTGACAAAATCAGCTTCCATTTTTAGATAATTTATATCAATGTAAAAGAGTCTCTCTTTATGCCCCCCAACCCCTAACGACTAGATGTCTGGACCGTGAAGTCCTACCCCCTCACACCCCTGTCCCCAGGACCCAAAGCAAGCCTCATCTCTCCTGGGAATTTCCCCAGTTAGATGCCCCCGAGTCCCTGAGTCCCTCTAATTATACCCAAAATTGCTGTCTTGTGCTTGCCCACCCAGGGTTGTTTGTACCCCAGATAATGTCCTTGCCACATCCTTCCATAACCCAAGCCACCAGGATCCATTCAAGACACGTCCAGAGTGAGTCTGAACACACACTTCATATTTTATGAAGAACAATGACTGGGAGTTGATTGCCACTTTAAAAGGGTCGTCTGAATGGCACAGGCAGGAGAAAGGGCTCCGAAATGAGCGGTGTAACGTTAAACGTTGTTTGCGGCTCTCCAGCCAGGCAGTGTCTGCTATAGCCCTCTGCTTATAACCAGATAATCAGGCCTAAAGGCTTTACTGGTTGTAAATGATGCAGCATCATGGTTTCACCAACGGCCAGACTCAGACTCTTTGTGATACTGAGTCACAGCAAGTCTCACGTAGCCCGTTCCTCCGCGAGGGCAGTGGGCTCGTGACCCGCATATGTCCTCCAAGCCAGAACGACCTATCCGACGGTACTCACCCAGATCTGAAGCTTGATCCGCTTGTCATTCCGGTAGACGGTCTTCACCTTGAAATCAATGCCCACCGTGCTCACAAAGGAGTTGCTGAAGGAGTCGTCGGCGTACCGGAACAGGAAGCTGGTCTTGCCCACGCTGCTGTTGCCGATGATCAGAAGCTTGAACATGTAGTCGAAGTTCTGATCGGAGCCGTCTCTCTGACCCATACGGTAGTCGGCCGCAGCCATCTTGACATGCAGATCGGGCAGGGGAGAAGAACATGCCCTGAATTTAACTGCCACCGGAAAAGTTATCAGGAATTCATGGAACAGCTCCATGTTCCAAAAAATTAACCAGGAAATAACAGATCTTAGAGGGTGGAGGCAGATTATAGAAACACTAACGTGTGTAAGCACTAATGAAAGCTATTAAGTGGTAAAATCACAATGTGTATATTTCTAACAGGTATGTGAAGACTCCTGGCCAACTCAACATAGTATATTTCCATCATCCGAAATATACTATTGCGGATACTGCAACCTCAGGGAAACTGCAAGAGACGACAGGGAATGAGCAAAATCCAGAAAAAGAAATATGCCCAGTAACCATGGGAAACCGAAAAGTTTCCGGGAAATGGCGCTGTAAGGCTGTGCGGCATAGGCAGGGCGTTAATCCCGGCACGTTAATTTAAAGTCATTAAGTTTGCAAGCATCGAAATGCCGGCGAGAGAATGAGCCAGCAAGGGGTGGCTGCGCTCATCCGCACTTCATCCCTATCACACATTTTCAAGGGGGCAGGAGACCGCAAGTAACCACCTGATTGTTGATGCGCAAACACTATATACACCTGTACTGCATCTGTACAAGAAAACATAAAGAAAAACAGACTCTCATCTGCTCCTTATAACACATGTCATGCTGGATGTACATGCGCGGACGTATGTTTGTGTAGGATCATATATTTCCTGTTTTGCGCTAATTTCTAACATCGCCGTTTAAATCCAAAGTCCCGTATTTTAACAGGAGAAAAAAAAACACATATATATGCGCTGATCCTTACGAAGGGACATCGTACTGAAGCATTATTTGAAGAATGAGATCTTACCCTTGTGCGACGATCGTCTGTTCAATCAAGCCGTAATCAAAGATGCGACCAGGGTGGCGTTAGACACCTCGGAGCCAAACGATCCCCGTTTCCCGACGCTACAGCCAGGCAGCCGAAAAGCGAGGAGAGCAAACCTCAGCCACTGCGATGTTTCACACGCGGTCACGAAAGATAACATGCATGGCAAACAGCGCGGAGAAAATGCACCGTTTGGTGAGTCGTAAGAGCGCCGCGTTAAATGGACGCAGCCCCCGTCTGGAGGAGGCAATGGCTTTAACATACAAGGTGGAGCATCGCAGGAGATGGGCAGAGTCCCCCCCCCCTCGCAGGGACAAGCGTACACTAACCTGCTTTCCTCGCCGACGGCTACTGGGATCAATGGGAGAGCAATCGGCAAAATTGGTGAATAAATAATAATCAATACTGTTCAGGCGAGAGCATACAGTTGTATTATGAGTCATCTGTGATCCTTTTATTTTATTTTTAGTCGCCAATCGAAACACAAATTAACGTGAGTCATCGCCACATGTCACCAAGTCATTCGCGTAACGTACAAGCTCGGTTCATATTGTATCGGTAATTGAAATCTAATTTCTCAAAAAAACATACGATCGCTATGCCATTTTGAGGCAAGTAAAGATTTACCACTGTGCAAATAAATAGCAAATAAAATAGTGATACTTCTAAAATTTGTCGTAATACACCACGACAAATATTCATATCCATTTTCCTTAGAAAATAAAAGGGAATAACGCATTTACTTTCTGTCACACAATTTACCCTACAAATCACTACACTTAAGCCAAATAATAGAGACTTTTTCAATAACACACTATAGAGATACATGGGATTAGGGACATGATGTACAGGTACTTCTAAATGTAACCTCACCTTACTTAAGGGATTTGAGTGGTATGTATGTTTTTTTAACCTGTTGATGAATCCGTCTCTCTACTCATGGGTTACAACAGGTGAATACAGCAGAAAACAAGCATTGCAATGTTAAAAAGTAAAACACTGGAAACTGGTAGAGAAAGGAAGTTTAAGGCTTCAGACTGTCTCCACAAAATAATTTCACCATTTATTGCACTGGTGTCTACAGGAGGAAAGAACAAGGTATGACTGTCTTCTGAGAACATTGAGCAGAAAGAACATGAGATAAATACAAAGACAGAGGCCCGATCAGAGCCAGTCTCAGCAGAAACGTCGATCCCCGTTGTCTCGTAGGTCCAAAGAGCCAGGCGAATGCATGTATGTTCAAGAGCATAAGAGCATAAGTCCTCCTTCTCAGTCCTTCCTGGCTTTAACTCTTCAGTGGAGACACTCCCAGACTGATGCCACCTTGCTCCAACTCAGCTATTACTGCCATATGTTTGAACATTGTTGGCTGGTGGTTGAATGTCTCAACCAGTTGGAAGGTCTCTTGTCGCTGTGTGCCATAGAAAAGCTGCACCTGATTGGCTAAACACTGGGCCTGATGCACACCCTAGGAAGGAAAGGGTTAAACAGAGCAAGATGAGAAAAAAAAATGTAGGAATAAAACTGTAAGAATAAATCCTGTAAGATCTTAAGGTCGTCTGTCTGGCCTATACATCTATGCCCACTTGGATGACTCAGAATGTATGCAATTAGTTTTCTCAGTAAATGCTTGAGTGGAAAGACTGATAGATAACCATCAGGTTCCAGGTATAATTACTGATGTGGAACGTGAAGACAGAACAGCTTATCTCCCGCATGCCTGAGGCATCTGAAATTTCAGATTATCACGTACTATAAATTTGGCATCCATCTCAGCAGTCATGAGCACAATCCCTTTGCTTTTCAGCAGGTCTGAATAGTGATACAACACCAGCTGGCTTGGAGCATTCTCTCCCATGGTCTGTGGGCAAGACAATGAGGACAACATGAGCAACCTACAGTCACATGGTGTTGAGATCACAATGAAGCGGAAGCAGGCCGACAGCCGTTCTATCTATAGGGACAGACTGAATTTCAGCCCAATACTATCTACATTTACACTTATTTATAAAGCAACAACATACAATTGAGAAAGTAGGGTCAGTCAGTCCCTGGAATAATTGGGGTTAAGAGCCTTGCTCAGGGGCCCAATGGAAACATCCCTCTGGCCGACACGTGATTTGAACTGGCAACCTTCCAATCAGAGGCACAGAGGCAGAACCCTCATGGTCACAAATGGCCAGCCTTTGCTTTCAATATTTACATTATGATAAGCAAAATTCTTACATCCAAAAATGTACTAAAGTGACCGAGATCCATGGAGATGTACCTGAACATTAATCAGTGACGTGAAGTGCAGTTCCTGTCCGGACCACTGACCCAAGAAAAACTCGTAGCCCTCCTTTTGAGGCAGGGCATACAGGAACTGTTGGTGAGTACACAGGAAAATATTCAGTTATGGACTCTGAAATCTGGTTTAAATGCTTTTGGAAAGAGTTAAGCAGTAAACACCACCCTCCACCTTTCACTGGAATGCAGAATACTGAGGCTTTTATTACAATTTTTTGCACAACATTGTGACACAGTAATGTACAGCAATCTACCACTGTCTTGTTAATTTTAAAGTAACTTACATTCAATGCTAATTCAAACGCATTTCATTTCAGCCTCTGAACTGCTTGCTGCCTATCTTGACAGATGTTTTGAATCAATGAAATTGAGGTAAATCACATTCTTAGTTGTACAACACTGCCATCAAGTGGTAACTCTTTAGAACAACAAGCAATCAGTTTCACAGATACTGCTATCGGGCCAAAGGATAGACACTCACCATGGGGCAGGACATGGCTCTGTTGTGAATAACTTTAAATGTTTCTTCCTAGAATAGGTGATACAATGTCAGTATAATTGCTATATATTTAAATTCACAAAATTACTGGTAGGTATTTCATTTCCGGTCTAGTAAGAGGAATACAATATTGGGAACTTACTGGAATGACTGCACTGATTGTGTCCTTTGTGGAAAAGTACTGCATCCAAAGCTAAATAGAAACATGGAGAGCATTAGAACTCACTGGAGAAAAGTCCAACTCCGAGTTTTTTTTGACCGTGTCAAAATAAGGTCACTGACCTCACCGATTTCCGTCCCTGACTTATCCTGGACCATGTCAATATTAAGGATTGATGCCAGGGTCTGTGTAAAACAGACAAATGTAATGGGGGAGAGAAGCATGTTACACACTGACAGTCAAGGCAAAAAATGGAGCCTAAAATGGGATTGACAACAAAGACATCATTCGGGTACAGCACACATGCTACTGATGCCATGCAATTACTGAAATAAGTTTAAGCATCATTACCTTGTTTCTGGTAAATCCCCCAGAACTTGTCACATTTTCCTTTCGTTTATCTAGCTGCAGAGGGAGAGACATGCTCTGATGAAATGGTCACACCCACAACTCTCATAGTTCACCAAAAATGTAATTTTATAGAAAAACAAAGAGACATGATCCAACCTTCTGCAAATCCAAAGAGCATAGGCGATGGGAGTTTATTTAACCCAAATATTCATCTTCACACATTATAAATAAATTACAGGTTGCATATTTTTACCCAGCAAAATTAGATGAAAATGGAAAAGGTATGACTTAGCTCAGGGTATCAATTACTTAAAATCTTTAAAAAAAAAAAAAAAAAAAATGATTCTCACAGATATGTGAGACTGAACCATTAGACGGAGGGTTGATGTGCGCCTGCATACCTCTTGCTCCATGACTTTAATAAACTCTGCTTGCTTCGAGTGCCCCAACGGTTCCCTTTTCACCGCGGTCCTCTTTTCCATCCTAGCTTTGAATTCTTGAGGCTTAGAGCTGAGAGAAATAAGAAGAGTGTCATTGAGGTTCAGTTTAAATGTACAGGAAAAAGACAAGCTTTAAGTCAAACAGGGCATATTATTCCTAATTCAGCGTCGCCAAACGTACCTGCAAAGGAGAACTATTATTTTAACTGCATTCGGATTTCCAGATTCACTTTTGATTTCACAGACCAAAAATTTCTAAAGTAACAGAACTATACTGCGCATGACCTGGAAATCTGTTATGGAAGAGCAATTCTAAATAACATCAACACAGGACACCCTTAAGCTGGACACGGCATATTACACTGATTAAATAGTTCAAAAATCATTCCTGGCAACCTAATGCAAATGCAATGCCAGCCATCTAAATGAACTACCTTTAGATGCCGCCTTTAAACAGAAATGACATGACAGGAATTATTGTACCATCAAATCTGTGGTCATACCTTCGCAGCTGCTCAATCTGGCCTGCATATTTACGGTAAAAAGGATTGTCGTCCAACTCCGAGTTTTTCTTCATTGTGAAAGTCCTAAACTGAAGTGGCACGATGCCGGGAATCAGTGGTCTAATTGCCCGTGTCCTGACCGCTAAAACCCCACGGTACAAACATGACATTTGCACCATGGCGGCAGCCATCTTGTTTTCATGACAGTCGCACATCAATAGTGCTCCGGCTAAAGGGGGGAAACTACTAGCTCCGAATAATCGTTCCGGGTACCACTCAGGTACGTAAATACTGTACGTACAAGCGGTAGGTATGTTGGATAGATTTGACAGTAAATCATTATGTTGTCACGTGGAATTTGAGGTTTGTAAGTTTTTGATAATATCCAGGTTTTTCACATTTTATCCATCCATCCATCCATTTTCCATAACTATTTCACACTGAGCCTGGACTACATGAATTTATTAAACGGGTTGTGAAATCTCATTAAAACAAACAACAAATGTACATAATTAACAAAAATATATGTATAAATATGTTGGCAAGAGAATACAGATCATACATAAAACATTCTATGTAGTTTGGGACCAAGTATACTTCAGCTTCTAAAGCAGAGCAGAGACTCTCTTCGCAGAAAAGTATACATGCAGTACACTCGGAGGTCTACCAGTAAAAAAGTCTTACAGGAAATATCCAAACCTGTATAAATTATATATATAACAGACTGTTATTCTGCTTATATTTGTGCGGCTGACCCTCAGATTGATTATAAAAAACTGATTTGTAAAAAAAGTCTAACAGGCCTTCATGAACATAACAGGCCTTCATGAACATAACAGGCCTTCATAAACATAACAGGCCTTCATAAACAAAACAGGCCTTCATGAACATAACAGGCCTTCATAAACACATTTCTTGCATTGATATGACTTTGCATGCTACTTTTTAAACATTCTGTGCTATTGTTGTGGAACATTTTGGGCTGGTACTGTGCAGATATATTTATATTCTGGTCCTGTCGTGCAGTTCATTGGTGTCCATTTTTTCTGGTTCTGGACTAACACACACTGAAGGCCCAGCCTGTCCTGGGAGTGAAATTCTGTACTGCTTTGCTTCTTGAGTCTGGAAAATGTCAGCGAGTTCCCATCAGTCCAGGCCCACTGTCCCCTGTAGCCAGTCAGTCCTGCAAACACAAACCAAGAAGAAGGAAAACAGCAGAGGCAGAAAGTTCTGGTTCAGAAGGTGCAAATCCAGACCAAGATTTTGTTTCAACCAACTAGTTGAGTACTCTTTGAATTGAGACTCTTTATGCTCAATTGATTGGCTGAAACTAAATCTTGTTCTGGATTTGTACTTTCTGTACCTGAACTTCACACCTCTGAAAAACAGTAGCTAGATCTCAAAGCTCCCAGGGAACTAAACAAACCATTCGAACTGTACTGACAGGTAACCAGCCCTTACCAATCCAAAATGGCTGCTTTCTGGCAAATTTCCATAACCAGGCCATATCTTGTTTGGAGTGGACACTTGTTAAGTTGCTGTTAAATCTTTAAACAAAGAGAAGATGGATGTCACTGAAGTGAGCAGTGTTTTGTTATATTTTAGCGTGATCACGAGAGCCGATACTGTGTGCGTGTTTGTGCCCCTCTGGTCCATACAGCAATGTGCAGGTGTGCTGTGCACTGCTCCAGGTCGTCCTGCTGTGACTCAGGATGAAACAGCGGCTCTCTCGGGCCGTCCAGCCAGACGGACACATGTCAGCTGGGGAGTCCTCAGTCTGAGAAAGAGGCGGGTCATTCTTTTAGCACTGACCCTGGACTAGAAGGTACTGACATGATTCGACTCATAACCAGCCAGCATTGAAAAAGTAAAAAATTGTAGTGACTGGCTGTGGATGACGGTGTTCCCAGAGTAAGATGTTGTGCTTGTGTTAACCATTTTCGCATTAGCACTGAGACAAACGTTCTGACCTTTTTCGTGAGCCCTTCTAGGCGGGTTCTAGGGGGAGACTGGCCACCCCCAGCAGTCTCGCTTCCTTGGTCCCTGTGATGATGGCTGGACCAGCTCCAGATGGGCATGATCTCCAGTTCGGGGTGGACCTGAGGTGCTGACTGCACTCCCAGAAGGTTTCTCCCCTCTGGCCGCGCAGGATTGATGCCATGGAACTTTCACAGAGGAAGACACACATTACACACTTTTGGTATGACGTTTGGTATGAGATTAAGCTCAAATGCATTGTGTGTGAATCAGATAAAATGGCCACCTTCCCGGCACAAACCAGTATCAGTTACTGACAGCTCAATCAATAAGATAAACTCATCCCATCCACCTCACTCTCAAAGTCTCTGGTTTTACAGTATTTGATAGATTGTTCTTGTTATCATGATTCAGACTAAACAGAGTTTTAATGTAGACAGGGTGCATGAACTGGGAATTCCTGACTTCAAAATCAAATGTATTGGCAATATTTCCCCATAAGACACACCAGATTGATGTAGACTCAATTTAAATTATCATTATTTGTCTTTGGCTGTGATTAACGGATGACGTAAGTACAGAATGACTTTCACTGGAGACATCCTGGTGCTTACTGTCCATATTGTCTCTCCGTTCCTCAGCTCAACGCCTGATGGATGAACCTGTGATTCCAGATGATAAACACAAAGAGTATAAATCATAAATCAAGAATAGGACACACACACACACGCACACGCACACACACACACACACACACACACACATACTCTACCAGTCAAAAGTTTTTGCACACATTGAGATTTTCTACATTTGTATGTTACTCACTTAACATTCACTGAAAATACACTCAATATTCTTTGCTAACAGATAAATTTACAGTACGTTTACCATTTGAGTACCTTTATTAGCATGAAAATGTCATATCTTTGATTCATCAAAGTAACCTCCTCTAGCAGTCATAACGGCAGAGAATAATCGAAGCATTCTTCTTTCTACAAGGGACATTAAATACTGCTCTGTTTCCTGGGGTGAAACAGGTAACTAGTGCATTTAAAGGTAAAGAACAGCCTAGAGTTTGACTGCCATCACCACACAACCATAAGTTATGGCCATGTCGTCAGGTGAGGTGACACTTGGCTTACGACGTGTCCATGTCTCCCCAGGGCTGTCTGGGGCCTCCTCACAGGCTGGTCCTGCAGCGGCTCCCCCCCCTCCGGGAAGCCATGCTTGTCCGGAACGTCCCCCCGGGGACGGTAGTTTTCCCAGTGGTCTGCGTCTGGGTCCGGGATCAGCGGGTCCGCATGCTGTGAGGGGCCGCTGTGGACGCTGGGAGGGGCTGCGGGGGCTGCGGGGGCTGACCGCTCCTCTCCATCATCGGGAAGCAGCTCATGTGGGTCACAGTACCCTGGAGCAAACACAGCCAATCAGACATTACGCCCTAAAAACATCCAGCTGTATCTCAGCTCTAAAAACATTTGTTACAGGGACATCCATCCATCCATCTTATAACCATTTATGCTGGTCATGGTTGTAGGCTACAGGGACATTGTAACAAAACATATGTAGCAGTTTTACTCTCTGATGTATATGACCCTCTTGATCAGGGGTCTCCAACTCCGGTCCTGCAGAGCTACTATCCAGTAGGTTTTCTGTCCCACTTGACTTCTGATGAGCCACACCTGTTCCTGGTATTTACCTGACAACAGGTGTGGCTCATCAGAAGCTGGGTATGATAGAAAACCTACTGGACGGTAGCTCTCCAGGACTGGAGTTGGAGACCCCTGATCTAGATGTACTGCTGTTGATAAGCATGGAGTTTATCCAGCCTTCTCCCATTGGCTTACCAGTATGTGCTGGCAGAGCCAGGATGGGGGGGCTGTGCATCGCAGCGCACACACACTCACACAGGCACACACTGACACAGTCACACACTCACACAGGCACACACTGACACAGTCACACACTGACACAGTCGCACAGGCTCCTGACTGATGACTGCGTGTCTTTGCTGCACAGGAGGACACCGGAGTGACATACAAATGTCGCATATCGTGTGAGGGAAGGATGCCGTCCAATGAACCGCCACCCCCCTTTCCAGAAGGGGGCGTAGCTGTAATACAATTACCTCCTCTGGGGTCCACAATCTCAATGGTGGTTCTGTTTTTCTGGCCCAGAACCGTGTTCTTCTGCCCTTTCAGGACCACCTGAAATTTCTCATTGGTTTCTTCTAACCCATCATCTTTAATATAAATGTTCCACGTCTTCACGTTCACCCCTAGAGCAAAGACAATGATATATATGTAAAAGATAATGGTGCTTTAAAAATGTCATCTAGCCAAAATATTGATGTTATTTGGTCAAACAAACCTGGATCAAACTGGATCAAATTAGCTGAGCTGTGGGTAAAATCTTTCCCTATTTTTGCAGTTCCATTTTCCACCTGAAATATACACAAAAGATACACAGTATCCCACAAACAATGTTAATGTCCATCCGCCTCACAGATCTTTATCCAGTGCAGAAGCTAGGGAAACAGACTGAACAGAAAGCCAGTCCCTGCTAGGGAACGCTCTGTGGCAGCTTACAGTCTGTACCCTCACCGGACTGCATGTCTATTGACAGCAGAAGGTATTTCTGATCATGTAAATCATTTTGTACACTTGTTCATTCTGTTGGCTTATAAATCCGCCTAGACATCACACATCACTGCATACCTGGATGCCAGTGTAGGCGGGGTCTACGCTGTTCCCAGTGCGTGTCACCTGCAGGGCCAGCATCCCCACGTTCTCACACACACGGAAACACGTCACCGAAAACTCCACTCGGGACCATTTCACCTCCAGTCTGCAGGGGGCAGCATGTCAGTTAAGCTTCAGCACTACACTGGTATCACAGATATACACATGTAGGTCTTCATCATTCAACTTGTGAAAAGAAAAAAATATTATTTAAAATTTTATTATGTGAAATGCAGTAATGGAAATGAAATTTTCATTATTGCTTCTGATTATTCCTTTGAACAGAGAAAGGACTTTAAAAATGGTTGTTTACTGAAAAGCAGCTATGTAAAGCAAATTGGAAAGATGCTATGTACTGGGATTTGGTGACTCATACTGTCAGACTGTCACATAGGTGGAAATTTAAATGAAAACCTTCAAATAAATCTTAAAATTACTATGAAAATTCAATATGGTGACTGTAAATTCTCATTTTTCTGCAACATAAATAAATTCCATTTCTGTGTAAAAACTACAGTTGGCATAAAAAATACCAGAGTCACAAAACTTATAAATTATAACAGGTGATTTATGGCAGACGTATCTATCGACATACACTTCTGGAGGCATGGAGTTTCCTGCAGGGTCACTGACTTGGAACTCAAAGCTGTCCTCGGTCCCCTGGACGCTGGGCCAGATGACATACAGCACAGCCCGCTGGTTCAGATCTTGCTGCGTAAAGCGACCTTTGATGTAGCCCCCTGCAGGAAAGCGGAGAGAGGGATCAGCCAGTGGCACTGCAGCAGACCTCTCCTGAGACTCAGCGAGGAGGGGCTGTAACCTCACCTGTGAGGGTGTTCTCCAAGTGCCCAAAGTGGGGGGGTCTCAGGATGATGAACTGCAGCTCCTGATCGGGGCTGTCGGGGTCGGAGGCCCGCAGGTCTCGGGATGTGATGTAGATGCCTTGTTTACCTCCAGGAAAGTTCTCCACTACACTGGCGATCCTCTTGGTCACCAGTCCTGGTGGCTTCCTATCCACAAACTCCACCTTCAGAGACACGTTAAATCAAATTCTTCAGCGGGTAACAATGTCGCCTCCCATCATTGGGTTTTGGGGGTTACAATCCCTGGTTCTGTGTGTGTGCAGTTTGTACATCCTCCCTGGGTTCTGAGACGTTACCATCCCTGGTTCTGTGTGTGCAGTTTGTACATCCTCCCTGGGTTCTGAGA